AATGAGCAAAGCTGAGAAAGCACCCATTTCAAACCTTCCCGAGCTGCCCGGGGCCAAAGGCCAGGCCTCCCCACCCGGTTCCTGTGCATGGATGTTGAGTATGTCTCACAAAATGCTGGCTCTCCTGTTGTTGTTTTTGGAAAATAAATGCTTCCTTCCAAGGTTCCCCCTCCCGGTTAATATCTGTGTTCAGGACTCCGAGTCCCTGGACACATTACTATGGATTTGTCCAGGTTTGAGATCTCAATTTTGTGATTTCCTCCCCATCTTCCTGGTCTCTCCAGACCCTGCTGAGTTATGATACAAACCTCCACCAGCCTGGGGGATGCTCAACTGATCCTGCGCCATGCCTCAGTCTTCCTCCGTGTTGCCCTGGCCACCAGGATGTGCCCTATGCAAATGTAGTTTATTCTCCTCATAGTCACTTCCCAAACCCACTAAAACAGGAGGGAAATGCCACTAGCCTCAATGCTAGCCTTGTGCAGACTGCCCTGTCTCGTCCTCTCTGTCTAGGCCTCCTTCTCATCTCAGAAACTGGGTGAAACCCCCACCTCTACCCTTGTACTCAGGTTCTCAGATTGACTGTGAAAAACATACGCATCCTACCCTGCCAACTGAGTTATATCCCCCCTCTCCTGGTCATGACCTCTCCTGTGAGGCCAGCCATTGCATTATATGGTACAAAGATCGGGCCGCATGGCTTGAGCCACAGAAGGATGCCACAACAGCCCACCTGTGTCAAGTCTGGGACCCAGAAACTTTGGGGGAAAGTTCTTTCTGTTATATCTGCAGCCTTCTAGGAGCCACCACCTGGCTTTGCTGTCCCCAGACTCCCTGGCTCATCGTATTTATATAGAGACCTGTGCTGTGCTAATGAGTTGCCATTTGAGACAATATTTAATTCATGCTTTGCTCTCTGGGTATGTGTGTTCCCCCTGTTGTGCCCTTTGACTGTAAGCTCTCTGAGAGCCTGGATTATTTCTGTGCTCTGCAGTGTCTCTCCAAAGACCCTCTACAGTGGGCCCTCCAGCGGTGCTGACTGCAGGGAAGCTGACTGGGGGATTAGGAATCGAAAATGCACACCAAAATATTCGAGGGGGTGCCTGGGTGGCTCAGTTGGTTAAGCGACTGCCTTCAGCTCAGGTCATGATCCTGGAGTCCCGGGATCGAGTCCCACATCAGGCTCCCTGCTCAGCAGGGAGTCTGCTTCTCCCTCTGATCCTCCCCCCTCTCATGCGCTCTCTCTGTGTCTCATTCTCTCTCTCAAATAAATAAATAAAATCTTTAAAAAAAAAAAAGAAAATGCACGCCAAAATATTCAAGTACACAGACACAATGATAAACTCCTATATTTCCATAGCACTGCTTAGGGGTTAGAGTCTTAGAACAACATTCTAAGAGAGGCACCTGGGTGGCTCAGTCGGTTAAGCGTCTGCCTTCAGCTCAGGTCATGATCCCGGGGTCCTGGGATCGAGCCCCGCATCAGGCTCCCTGCTCATCGGGGAGTCTGCTTCTCCCTCTCCCTTTGCTGCTCCTCCCTCCCACTGCTTGTGCTCTCTCTCTCTCAAATAAATTTTTAAAAATTAAGAAAAAAAAAAGACCAACCTTCTAAGAAAAATAGGGCAGGTATTATTACACCCATCTCATAGATGAGGAACTGGGCTCCAAAAGAGGAAGTGACATCCCAAAGTCACACTGCAAATACCTGCAAAACCAAGGCGAGAAATCTGGGCTTCTGAGTACTCGCCGAGCCCAGTGCCTGCCACCCAACGCCTCCAAAAGGAAAAGGAAGGTGGGGCGGGAACAACCTAACTGCCCATCCACAGATGAACGGATAAAGAAGATGTGGTATGTGTGCACAGTGGCATCTCACTTGGCCATGAGAAACAAGGACATCCTGCCATTTGCAACATGGATGAACCTTGAGTACAGGATGCTAAGTGAGATTAAGTCAGAGAAAAAAAAATGTACTGTAGGGTCACCTGTGTGGCTCAATCATTAAGCATCTGCCTTCAGCTCAGGTCATGATCCTGGGGTCCTGGGATCAAGTCCCACACTGGGCTCCCTGCTCTGCAGGAAGCCTGCTTCTCCCTCTCCCACCCCATCACCCTGTCACCCCCCGCTTGTGTTCCCTCTCTTGCTGTCTCTCTCTCTCTGTCAAATAAATAATAATAATAAATCTTTTTAAAAAAATGTACTGTGTACTACCACTTATATGTGGAATCTAAGAAGCCAAACCTGCAAAAATAGAGAGTAAAGTGTGGTTACCAAGGAACCAGGGAGGAGGAGGGATAGGACAGATGTGGTTTAAGGGTTCCTACTTGCAACAAGTAGGAAATAAATGCTAGAAATCTAATGCAGAGTATAGTGACTACAGACAAGGATGTTGTATTATAGCCAGACTTAATTATTCTAACCACTAAAAAGAGTAATTATGTAACAGAGATGTTAATTATTGCTACAATGATAATCATATTACAATACATAAATGTACCAGATTTACAGGCTGTAGATCTTAAATTTACACAAGGTTATGTCAAATATATTTGAATTATTTTAAAAATGAAAAAAAAAGACAAAGAAGGAGGGAAATTCAGAGATGGCTGCATTGTAATATGTCCTTGCCCTTATCATCTCATCTACAAATTCAAGTGCAGGCACTACCTAAACTACAGATAGTTCCAGTAGACTAAGCATATGGGGGCACATAATCTGCAGGAAGATAGGTCATTTAAACAGATCTATGCTCTCAAAGGAATGAGCCTATGAAAGGACAAGCAGAGACCAGGGGTAGGAACTACATGGGGGCTGAGTCTGGGAATGAGGAGGAGAAGAAGGTGGTAGAGAAATGAGAGGTATGGCAGGATGTCCCAAGAACAGCGAAGGAGGCTAGGAAAAGGCATCAGGAGAGAGGTGGAAGGGGAGAGAAGAAGGATGGGAAGGAGAGCAAAGAAGAAAGAGACATAAGAGGGAATAGAAGAATACACACTTTTTCTATGTCTCTAGCTTTCCTCCTATAAGGAGCGTCCTGGGAGATAGAAGCCATAGCATGGGCATTAGAGTTTTGCTCACCTTCTTTCCAAGGATCAGCCAGCAAAGATAAAACACAAGAAGCAAGATACAAATAGAATGAGATTAAGAGAACGTTTGATACTCACATAAACCAGAGAAAGGAGAAGAAATATATTGAAGTTAGAAGCAGAAGAAAGAGAAGTGAAAGGGTTGGCCAGGTTAGGACACCACCAGGGGGAAGCAGAAGCTTCCATCCGAGACTGATACTTGGGATGAGTCGAGGAGAACATCAGTGGAGGAGGAGTACAGGGCCATGACAAAGATGGCCTGCATTTGAGGACCATGGGCTTAGGAGCAAGAGGTCCAAAACTAGGAGACAACACAGCAGTGCAACTGAAGGGGAAAAGACCCTGGTGTGGTCCTTGTGAAAACAAGACACTCTGACAGGTTGTCTAAAAAAACATTTACTTTTTATTGGCAGAATGTCCGTAGCTAATATTCACGTCTGCATTTGTTCACTGTTTGAGAGTCATTTGTCCACCTGCCATGAAGGTATCATCTGTCTTAATAAGCCTATAAAAACAGAACCCACAGACTTTACCCTTCTTGAGTAGGGCATTCATGATGGTGGCCCACATGCTGGTATTTGATGAGTGAACTGTGATGGAGAGAGTAATCTGTTGGTAGAGAAGATGGTATAAATATAGCCAATGATGCTCATCAAAATGGCATTGCTGACCCTGAGGATGACAGTGATAGTGCACATAGTGATAAGAAGGCAGGTGGTAACAGTCGTGGTGCAGAAGGCAGCAGACATGGAGTTCTGTTCATGACGGGGGTGGGAATCATGGTGATGGTGGTTGGAATGAGGAAAACGATCTCTGCAAAGCTAGGTCACCACTTATAAAACAGTGTGTGTGTGTGTGTGTGTGTGTGTGTGTGTGTGTGAATGACAGGGAGACACAGAGACAAAGAATCAGAGAAAGAGAGAGACAGAGACATCATCTATATATCACCCATCGTTAAACTAGAGTAGAATCTACCCCAGGACCCTTCCTTCCTAGAGACATTGCAAATGGCCAAAGTCCATAGCCATTCCTTTCCCCTAAAATGCCTAATAATAAAAGAATGGTAAATCTGTGGACACTTTTCCTTTCTCTTTGGAAGGATTTGCTAAATTTTGTTATACAAGGACACTCACCTACAAATTCCCTGGGGAGATTTTAAAATCATACATAAACTATGTTGGCTGAAATGAAGCTCAAAAATCATCTGAACTGTGTGGTTCTCAACTCAAATATGCATCAGAACCTACTAGGGTTTTTTTTTTTTTTTCCCCACAATACTGATGCCAGAACCTCATTCCATATGAACCACCTGAATCAAAATCCCAGAGGAGGGACACCGGCATGAACATTTTAAAAACATTCCCCAGATGATTTTTTTATCAACTCTCCTGATTAAGAACCTTCTATTTTACAGATGAGACAAGTGGAAGCGACCACCACACAGTACTTAGTGGCAGGGTCACAACCAGAATAGGGATCTTCACAGCAAGTTTGGTGCTATTCTCCCTGCATGCCACTGACCCAATCACCCAATCAGCAAGGCTGCTGTCTGCTCTCATTGCTAAATTTGCCCCCCCACAAAAAAAAGTGCTTGGCAGGGCTGGGACACCAAGAAGAGGGAGAAAAGAGGTATAACAGAGAAACCAAGAAGCTGCACCAGGGCAATATCTGGCTTCTCGTGAAGTACATCCCAGGTGGAGCTCCAAGGTGAAGGGATCTCCCAAGCCCAGCCCCTCTCTGCACCCCAACTTTCTTCCCCACCCTACCCACATCATTGCCCCATATTTAGGGTCCCTCGGGAGTCAAGTGCAATTTCAACTCCACAAAACCTCATCCCCCAAACTCTGGCCTTGTCCCCACACTATTCCCATCCAGCCAGCCCTCAGGAGACCTCCAAACCCAGAAGAAAAATCCTCATACTTTCTTGGTGGGGACTTTGATCTTCAAGAACTCCGCCTCTCTGGCCAGCACCTGCCACGGGGCGTGTATCCGGACAAAGATGGATCCCTGGCTTTTACTCTGTAAGGTACAAAGAAAGAAGAAATGGAAACACTTAGAAGGACATAGCTTAAATTCCTGTCTCCCCAACTCTCCCGAACTAGAAGCCCTGACCTGGTGTTTCTTCAGTTCCTGGTGTTTGTTTTGTTTAAACTTCACCAGGACCCAGTCCCCTCCCACCTGTATCCCCTTCACCAGCTCTGTTCCAGAAAGGCTCTCATCAAAAACCACAGAGTACTGTTCCCAAAGTGTGGTCCCTGGAGGCTTAGTGGCTTCAGAGGAAAAGAAGAATGAAAATGAGTCTGTGCACAGATTTGAAATGTAAGCAATTGTGATTTTCACATTAATCTTACTACACTCAGCAGAGCAGTTAGAGGAGTTACCTTTGCTGGCATTCGGAGAGCAGCCTGCCATTCATCCCATTCACACAGTTTCATTGTTTATTGTTAAGTCTGTATCTGTGTTCCCATTGTGCCATGTCATAGCCCCAAATGACAAGAGTGGCTCACCAAAGCCCAAAAGTAATGATATAAATAATAATGTAAACAGTACAGTGCAAAATGACATCATAAACATAAATCATGAACAGGGCTCCAGTGTGAACACAGATTATGAATCTATGTCCCAGCATAAGTGATTCTGTGAGTGTAGTGATTTCACCCAAAAATGGAAAGGAAAGGAAAGGAAATGCAGTGATGAGTATTTGAAAATCAGGTCTTATTGACTCAGTAATCCTCGTCATAGTGTCTGTGATAAAAAATTCGTTGGATTATGACAAGAAGCCATCAGTTTCTCCCCATCTTCAAATAAAGCCTCAAATTCTTTTCGAAACAAGCACACAAAGAAAACTACTCCTGACATTAATTCAATTAGTTTTGTCACTACAGAATGAGAGGAAACCAAAACAAGTCAGAAAAATGGGCAAAAGCCCCATTCTTGGTGAGAAGCTTCTAAAACCACCTGCAGAATTCATTACAAACGCGGTGTTCACAAAGAAAGCAGAACAAGCCTATGGCACCATTGCTTCATCAGGCGACTGCTGGAGATCACACGGAACCTGGGCACCAGGGTGGGAAGATGCTGGTGTGCCAGCCAGCCTGCCACTGACATCGGCGTGCAGCTGAGGGGCAGTGTGGAAATCCGGTCCTAGTGAGTGTACTCTACAGAGAGAACGCTCGCAGCTTCTTGTTTTGCTGACCTCCTACACCCCCTGAGGCTTCTACTGAATTCCTGCGTATTTTGTGAAGCAGGAAGCACAGAGACCAGTACTGAGAAGACACCAACTCTACGTGCAGCAAAGGTGTTACCGCTCATGTAAAAGCAGGTGTCCCCTTTGAAAATCATTCTCCAGCTTCATTCACAAAGAATGAATGTGTTCAGGGTGCCCGGGTGGCACAGTGGATTAAGCTTCCAACTCTTGGTTTCGGCTCAGGTCATGATCTCAGGGTTGTGAGATCGAGCCCTGCATCAGGCTTTGGGCTCAGTATAGAGTCTGAGATTCTCTCTCTCCCTCTCCCTCTGTCCCTCCCACTCATTCTCTCTCTCAAATAAAGAAATCTTTAAAAAAAAAAAAAAGAACGAATGTGTTCAACAATCCACCCTCTGGTCTTGATTCTGTGTTGAAGGTAACAGCGGAAGCCAGCCACACACAGCCTCTGAGCATCTGCTTCTCTAGTGTTCTGGGCAGAAAAATAGGTGGCAACCAGAGGACTGCATTCCCCCACAGAAGTACTCAGACCATGATGATGCTCACATGGCAATGAGTAAGATTAAAGAGATACTTTACAATGTTCATAATGCAAGTGAAGACTATCTCTATGATTCTGAATGGCAGTCCCACAATATATTCAGTAATTCACACATCCAGAACCTACCTACCCCCCACCACTTTGGGGATGAAAGCTTGTGATTTATAAGGGAGAAGGAGGAAGAAGAAACGAAGATTTTGCACGAAGATTGAACTGTGGTATGAAAGTCCTGGAGAGTTTGCAAACATCTGAAAATTATAACAATAATCGTGATGTGTATTTACTGAGTGAGTATCATGTACCAGGACAGAGCTAGATGGTCATGTACTTTAGCACAAAGAATATTCACGGCCATGCTGTCAGCAGGTATTATCACCTACCCCATTTTACAGTTGAGGAAATCAAGGCAGAAAAATTTAAATTGTTGGTCCAAAGTTACATAGATAATGTGATAAAAAAGTATTCAGATCCAAGCAGTCCATGCTCTACCTGATGATTTTCTTGTCCACGGAAGACAGACATAACATGTTCCAGGCAGAGTTACAAACTACCTCCAAGGGCTGTAACAGATCATAAAGACATGGTTTTTGGACTAAAGTCAAATCAAAAGGTGGATAAGGCAGTCCTAAGATGAAACACTCAACTTTCCAGCTTCCAAGGATGACATTGTTCTGCCAAAACACTGCAAGTGGCTTTCAGCAAGAATCTCCTCAATTTCTAAGTCTGTCTATGGTTAAACATCCAGGATTACTAGACGGAGTCATCCATCACTTGCTCCCACTTCTAACTGTAATTTAAGCTTTTCTAATTTAGTGAAAATGAAGGATAAGAAAGGAAACCATCTGGCAAGCTGACCTGTAGCCCCAGCTCTCCATCATGGCCCCAGGAAGGACATTTTTGGTGAAAGATGGCAAATAGTACCATCCTTCTCACAGAGATGAAATCATGACTATTACTGATTTTAATATATGATGTTTTGTCCTTACTTTTAAATTGTGATGAATGTCCCCAGGATTTTTAGGTGAAAGGTAAAATTGTTTAGCCATTGTGATTTTAGAGGGTCTATTAATTGTAATCTGACCTCTTTGCTACTTCCCTCCAGCAAAGTATACTTCTCCTTTTTCTTCTCAAATGGGACTTGTTTTAAATGAAAATAAAAGCTGGAATGCAATCGTGCGGTGCTAACATCCAGTTGTGTCCCTTTCAATCCATGCGATATTGTTACCCTCTCATAAAAAGAAAATCACACAAGCTGACCTGAAATGTTAGCTGGTGTGATTGGCTATGTCTCCCGGAGAAAAACAAATACTTAAAAACCCCTGAGCAGAACCATCACCAAATGCAGAAGCTCTTTTTACTAACCCAGGAATCTAAAATTGAAGGGAAACACAGATCCAGCTTTAAGGGGGGGGGGGGGGGGGGGAATGGTTTCCTTCTTCTCTAGGCCCAACTGATGTCCATTCTTGCCCATATTCGGATTCTTTCGGGCAGAGCAGGGGAGTGGGAAGAGCTTGGGCTCCAGATAAAAACAGATTCAGATCTGAATCCTGGATTTTACAGCTGTAGGATGTTGGACAATGCACTGAACCAAATGAGCCTCAGTTTCTTTATCTGAATACTGACAAAAAACACTGCAGGTCTGTTGTGAAGATTAGAGATAAGGTTTCTGCCAAGTCCCAGCTACAGGGCCTGGAATGTGGGCCAGGCGAGAGGTCAGCCACCTGACTAAAATGACTGCAGGGACAACATGCTCCTCTAGCACAGGGCTGGGGACACAAGAGGTCCTCCCTGAATTCCCGCAGTCAACAGAAAGACTCAGGGAACACCAGTTCCTGCTACATTACGATGGTGACTAAGTAATCCTTCTTTACTGCCCATGAACTTTTAAAATTATCAACAGGGTCTCAAAATGTCCCATGTGTCCTAAAGGAACTCATGGGTGCAAAATATAGCACATCTCCAGGCTTTGAGGACGAGGTCAGAAAACATGGCTTTCTGAAACTAACATGAAATTCAACATCAAGTAGGTAAAAGATGGCATATCAGAGCATATAGCCCATCTCTAGAAGAGATTTTATAAATACCTTATCAATGTGACTGGAGGGGCTCCCAAACCTCATCAGGCAACTAAAATTCAAGTCCGTAGAAAAGGAACTGTAACATGTCATTTGGTTCTGGTCATCAGACAAAGGAGAACCAGTGCCTAAAGATTTCTGCAAGCAAGCACAAGCACATCCATCTTGGGGATGCAACTATCCCAGCCGCAAAAAATGTGAAATAGACAACAGAGCCAGGAAAATCTCTCCCGCTCAGTTGAAATGTCTCACAAAACTGTGCTACTGCTTTCACCATGATTCTATTTTCATAAAACCCTACAAATTCTGTTTCTCCATCTCCTGGGTGTCAGGAAAAGGTACCCAAGAAGAGGATGCAGGCACTCTGGTGAAGGAAATGAATAGCATGTATAGAAAAAACAAAAACAGTACATGTAGGGTTCCATTCATACTTCCAGGCATCCACAGGTGTGGGGGGGGTGTTGAAAGGTATCCCCACGGATAAAGGGGCCTCCTGTACTCCTCAATCATAACCTGACTTTCAGCTCTCTCAGTCTCTTTTAAGTTGTGCTGTCAGTTGGTTTCCTAGACCTGTTCACCACTAACTAAATCAATGGAACAAGGAGTTCACAAAGCAAAGTTGGGTCCCCATTTGCACCTGTGCCCTGCCTAATCAGCCAGTGTCCCAACCTCTCCCTCCTCCCTTCCTCTCTAAAGTCACCTTGACAGCAGGCCTGATCATAGACACCTTCTCTAACACATCAGCACCTCTGCCCTCTCCCTGGACTCCAGCCCCACAGCCCTTCCCATGGGTTTCCAAGTGCTCCAGCCAGCGTCCCACTTCAGAACCTCCTCACACACCGTTTCCTCCCCTGCAAAGTCCTCCCCTGCCCTCAGACCCAGCCAACTCCTAACTGCTTCTCAGCTGAAACATTACTTTCTCCAGGAGGCGTTTTCTGAACCCTGGATTATGCCTGCTCCCCGCTCTTGCCTGCCTGGCCCCTGTCCTCCTCCATAGCACTGGCCGCCAGCGCAATCACTGTCACTAGGTGTCTAATGCTTGTCTTCCTGACTAGACCTTAATCTCTAGGAGGACAAAGAACGTGTCTATCTTGTTGGCAGCTTTGTCCTCAGCAGCCAACACAGTACCAGCAAACAGTACAAACTCAGTAAGTATGCAGTATAACTTCAATAGGCACAGATGCCTCGTTAGTTCTGC